TATTTGGAAGGGTTGGGGTGAAAGGGAATTAGTATTTGGAAGAATTGGAATGAAAGGGGTGATGGGGACATCAGAACCTGCTGAGCACACCATTGGTTCCATGATTCATGGGCATATTTTGGCACAAGCTATTAGTTTGGGTGGGTATTGGTGGGTATTGAGCCATGGTGCACTCAGCAGAGGAGATGACCAATGAGCTGTTGAGCTTGGGTGGTATCATGAGAAGCCATGCGCTGGGCAATGTATGGGTGATCATTGAGGGTATGCTGGGATTGTCACAGCATGACTACATGTATGTGTATGTGGACAAGAATGACGGGATGAAGAAGAGGTTCTTTATGAGTTTGGGGCATGATGGTGATCACCCTGCAGCATCAGATCATTGGTGTATCTATGGTTGGATCATTCCATGGGTTCCATCAGGTTCTTTGGAGATTCCCCAGGTGGGGGGATATGGACTATAGGCCTGAAGAGCCATTGGGTGAGAGCATTGGGGATGAGCAGGATTGGTCCCATGGAACCTATGGGATAGGATGTGGATTCACCAATGCTGGCAGCATGGCATACTATGAGCCTAAGAATGGGGATGAGATCCAGCATGGGCATGAGGAACCCAGTTTCACAACATGAGGAACCCCCCTCATTCCATAGAGAATGTGGGGTGATAAGCATAAATGTTTTTGAAAAGCAATGCTGATGGGCAAGGGTAGGGTTGGATCCATGGGATGTTTTTCCAATGAGACTTAACTATGGGGTGGTTGAACTGATGGGGTTTGCATGGGAACCCACATGAGAACTTTTGGATGAGTGTTCATGTTAGATTGATCCATGGGTTGTTTTTCCAAGGGAGCTTTTGAGATAGGATGTGAAATGATGAGATTTGCATGGGAACCCACATGAGCAGTGATAAGGTTTGCCAATGAGGTGATTGCAAGGCTGTTGGATGAGTCTTGCTGTTAGATTGGCTCATCAGCTTATATATCAGCAATCAGCATCATCAGCTACTATCAGCTCATCAGAATGATGATGCATGAGATCATCATGGTTGTGCTGGCATCAGTCCTCATTGGACTGATTGGGCTGCTGGTGTATTTGGCTATGAGCATGAGGAGCTGGGGGTATGAGGAAATATATAAGTTCATTGATTAATGAATTATATAGTCATCAATAGTAGTATTAGTGTTTGAGCTTGGATTTGTTTGCCCTGGGCAGGACATGGGTGGAGACCATCAATGGGCAGATGGGTGCCTTGTGTGGCAACATGGGTTCTGTTGAGCGCAGAATGGATGGGCAAGGTGGGCTGGTCAGGGATTCTTACATGAATACATTAATACTTTTTGTTTTTGTATATGTATATATGTAGAGACATGTATATATAGAGTTCTATTTATAGAGTGGGTTCATCTTAGGACAGGATCAGGCATCTTGAGCAGCGATTCCAAGATTTGAGAGGATGGGTGCTTGTCAGATTCTTGGCCTGGTCCTGGGTATGATTTTTATTGCGTATTTGATTGCTGAAGCCATGGGTGTTAGATGTATTTGATCATTTGGTCAGCTGAGATTGGGATGATGAGAAGACATGCACTATTGAGCAAAGATTGGAATTGATGCAGCAGTGGATGCTCTATGAGAAGGATGAGGTTACTGGC